TGGGCTAGCTTTCTGAACCTGGCTGCCAAATAAACTTTTCCTGTATCCTGAGAAGTCTAACACCTGTCATTTTCTGCAACAACACCATTTCAAACAGATGGCAGTCCAGTCTCTTCTTGAAAGCCTCCAGCAGCCACAACTTCTGAAAGCAAAGTTGATCCATTGGTTGATTGTTCTCACTGTCAATAAAGTTCTCCTTATTTCTGTGCTGAATCTCTTCTTGATCCGTTTCCATCCATTGTTCCTTGTCTGGCCTTTGAGTAGTTATGGAAAATACCTTGACCCCCTCCTCTCTGTGGCTGCCCCTCAAATATTGAAACACTGCTATCCTGTTATCCTGGTCCTTCTCTTCACTAGACTAGCCATGTCCAGTTCTTGCAACTGTTCTTCATATGTTTTAGCCTCTAGGTCCCTATTCACCTTTGTTGCTCTTCTGTGCACTCTTTCTAGAGTCTCAATATCTTTTTTTATAGTGTGTATTCTAAGTGTGGTTTACCAGTGGTGGGTTTCTAATTTTTTTTACTACCGGTTCACTCGTGCTCATGGATGCACAGAAGCGTCCGGGTGGATGGGTGGAGCCTCCAGCCACCGCTACTACCAGTTCACCCTATCCGGGCCAAACCGGAAGCACCCACCTCTGAGTCTTACTAAGTCTTTATAGAGTGGTATTACTACATCATGTCATCTTGATTCAGTCCCTCTGTTGATGCAGATTAGGATTGCATTGGTTTTTTTGGCTGCCGCTGCACACTGCTGGCTCATATTTAGCTGCTTGTTCACTAAGACTCCAAGATCACTCTCACAGTAACTGCTATTAAGCCTGGTTTCACCCAGTCTATATTTGTACTTTTGCTTTTTCTTGCCTAAGGATAAGACTTTACTTTTCTCTACATGGAATTTCATTTTGTTAGATAGGGTCCAGTGTTCAAGTCTGTCGAGATCTATTTGTATCTTGAGCCTATCATCTAGGTATTGGCTATGCCTGCCAGTTTAGTATAATCTGCAAATGTGATAAGTTTCTCTTCTATTCCCTCATCTAAGTCATTTATGAAGATATTGAAGAGTTCTGGGCCTAAGACGGAACCTTGTGGTACCCCGTTGCTTACTTTCCTCCATGTAGATGTAATACCATTAAGGATTACTGGTTGAGTATAGTTTGTCAGCTGGTAGTAATGCCAACTACCCCATATTTTTCTAGTTTAGCAAGAAGTAGGTTATGGTCTACTTTGTTGAATGCCTTACTGAACTCTTAAGTATATAGAGCCTAAAAAAGCTGTTGAAAAGAATTAATACTTCATTTTGTACACTACATTTCACTATGCTATATTATACTAAGAGCTTGCATGATCTTTGGAGTTGCCTGAACATGTCATTTTTCAGGAATTTTAGAGATTTTCTGCATCCTTAACATATGTGATAATATTGATACATTGATACAGAAAGGTTCCTAAAGCAGAGAAAGAATGGTACATACATTTGAAGTAGAAAACACTTTACAAGTTTGATCCACTTAGGCCCCACTGGTTTCATACTATAGATTAGATTAAATTAGATTTATTAAATTTATATGCCACCCTTTTCCCCTGAAGGGGACTCAGGGTGGCTCACAACTCGAACCGGGGAGGGGGATACAGACAAGAAATTTAAAAACAACAGCATAACAATATATAATTTAAAACTCACAA